TATTATTATTATTATTATTATTATTATTATTATTATTGTTATTGTTATTATTATTTTTTTATTATTTTTATTATTATTATTATTATTATTGTTATTATTATTATTTTTATTATTATAATTATTATTATTATTCTTATTACTATTATTATTATTATTATTAATATTATTATTATTATTATTATTATTATTGTTATTATTATTATTATTATTATTATTATTATACTATTGTTTATATAATATACTACCAAGTATTAATGTGTAAGAATACATATGCACAGGTAACTGTAATATTACTCATTCTGCTTCAAAGAATACTGCACTTCACTTAGCGGCTCAGTACGCCCATTCGGGCGCTGTCAAGTTCCTCCTCGATAGTAACGCCAAAATAGTATCTAATCTGGACAACCTGACCATCGTTGATATGGCAATAGAGAACAAGAATAAATACGTTGCACTAGCAATTGTGCAGAATGACAGGTATGCTATAACTAGCAAATATGTAAGTGGAACTATAGTTTGGTATTCTAACATTTTATTTCGTTATATATTTGATCCAATAAACCAACAATGAAACGCAATCTCAGAAATTGGGAGGCCATGGCTAACTATGGTACTGTATTAGTGCTGGGGCCCATCTCCAATCACAGATAACAGAAATATTTGAAAAACGATAATGAAGAGAAAAATTACAATAACAAAAAAATCAAAATAAAGATGGATCTTCTTAGAGAGTTAAGATGGCAGTCGGTTTCATTATCATCCCCATTATCATCTATAATCATCATCATCATCATTATTATCACGATGATTATCATCATCGTCACTATATAATCATTATCATCATTATCATCGTCATCATGTCTTACTACCACTATCATGACCATTAACAATGGATAATTTACTAAGCCATGCGTCATCGTAGTAAGAACAATGAAATGATTGCAGTCAGTGTGCCTAAAGGAGAGTTATTGAACTACGAAATACAATACTTTCTGCAATTCGTTGATGAAAACAAACATTCCGGTTTGCCTGGAAGAATATCCGTGCCATTAGATAATAAGCTCCTTGTAAGAACGTTGCATTTATTTACAGTAATTAATCTACGTGTTTTTCATATCTTACGTCTGTTATCGCCAATAATCTATTATTTAATGTAGTCAAAATTTGTATTGTTTCTCTGTCATAACTATTTCAATATTCGTAAGTATGTTTGAAATAGGTGTTGGTAATTATAAAAAAAATAATTTAATATTTACCACAGATTAATGAAAAATAAAAATAATTATTATTATATAGAGTAATTTTAATATTTTCACTGACGAAAATATGAATAAAAATATATTTATCGTTTTTGGTTTTCAGACGTTGTGTTTCCATCAATATTTTATTTATTAATAATGAGATAAATGGGTCGGTCAAAAAGGCAGGCGTCACAGGTTTCTAATAACAATAGACCTAGCACACACAATACCCTTATCCACATACATAGTGCTGTCTATTTCCCAATAAACTCCGCAGTAGATCTCTTTTATGTACTTCTTTCTCACCAAACTTAATCATTAATAATTCATTAAATTCATGTATTAAATTATCATTATTATCATGAGATAAATAGGTCGGTCAAAAAGGCAGGCGTCACAGGTTTCTAATAACAATAGACCTAGCACACACAATACCCTTATCCACACACATAGTGCTGTCTATTTCCCAATAAACTCTGCAGTAGATCTATTTTATGTACTTCTTTCTCACCAAACTTAATCATTAATAATTCATTAAATTCATGTGTTCAATGATGTAACGTTCATACATAATTATTCTATATCTTATACGGTACAGTATATATCTGACTGCTTACTATCTTCGAGACGTGACTCGAATTTGGATTCGTGTATGTTTTTAAAATCTGACTTTATGGTTTTTTTGTTTGTTAAATCGACATTTTGCTAACACACACAGTTCAGTAGCTTTGTTTATTGCCCACTGCAAATTCGCATCCATTACCATAGTCATTTTTTTATGATTTTTTTCAAAGATGGAAAGAAGCTTTAGGAAACTGTTGTCGGTACACACTTGGGCTTATTGAACATCTACCAGACGTATGTCTTGTAAGTTATTTTCTTATTTTAGCATACTGACATTTTCTATAGTTAGATACGTCCTAATCGTTGCCTCACGGTTTGAAAGTTTCATTCATTAAATTACAACAAGCGAATTAAGATACATTTATAAATGTTGCGATTATTTATGTTATATAATATAAATCAAAAACTTGAAATTCATATTATAACCAATTGGTTGCAATTATTTCTGTCGCTACAATTATGTATTAGATTTTATCATATGACATTGGTAAATGATTTGCCTGCACACACCAATTGTTAGTACATGACAGTTTAATAATTAATCAATCAATCCATTAATTCTATTTATTCACTCATCATAATTATACAAAAACGGAATGTACAGAGTTGGGATAAAACTCCAATTGTAACAAAAAAAATTGCCTTCCGCACCGTGCTAAAAAAACGTTCATTTAAAATTAACTACTCTTCGGTAACAAGAATTGAAGGTTTTTTTGCTTATTTTTAGCACTACCCATGCCATAATGAATGTAAGAATACAAGATTACTGAATACAAATTAATTAATATGGGTTTTAGAAAATAGGTAAGAGTTTATGAATTATACCAGCATTTTTTCACAAGAGTTTGCGTAAGTTTTGTGTTTGAGATCCCATCTTAATTAGTTATTAATCTACGAACCAAAAACAATCTAAACTTGTTCATTTATACCAAATTGACCTGGGAGTTGTCGTAAAGTATTGCTGGATAAAATGTTTTTTATTTAGATTTAATAAAATTTGTGTAAATTCAAGACGTGGATATTGAGATCTCAGAATTTACTTTATTTAGTAGTGTGTTTTTGTTACTGTGTAAATAAAATAGATCATCAGTAAAAAAAATCGATGAAAACCTATCTGAACGATTTGTAAAATTATTAGGGCCTAATAAAAATAATGGTTCCTGAAGAGGTCCTTGTGGGACACCACTTTTGATCAATTTGAGCCCAAATTTATATCTATTAAAGGAGGAAAATTCTTTTCTTCATCTAAGGTAGCTCTTAAACCCTCTCGTTGCCTCAAATGTCAATGACTATGTCACAGTCAATTCAGAACAAAATAATATTCTAACCCATCACATAAATAATAATAATAATAATAATAATAATAATAATAATAATAATAATAATAATAATTTATAGCATAAATGTGTGAAATTATTTATTATGTTCACGAATGTACTAATTAAAAGGCTGGCTTAATTGTTTATTGCCTTGGCGTTTGGTGCGACTAAAACCCAAAGATGGCTTGTTGACTCTTCTACACATACCCAAATAATGAATAACATTGGTCCCAGAAGAAAGCCTAGTGGGACACCATTTTAATAGGTTGGAGCCCAGATTTCTATCTATTGAAGGAGGCAAACTTACTTCTTAATCTAAGGTAGCTCTTAAGCTCTCTCGTTGTTTCAACTGTACATTATTATGTCAAAGTCAATTATTAAGAACAAAATAATATTCTAACCCATCACAGAGCATTAGCATAAATGTGTAAAATTAGTTATTGTGTTCGCAAATGTACGTACTAATTAAAAAGCTAACTTAATTGTTTATTGCTTGGTTTATCAAGTCAGTGCCAGATGAGCAAAAAACAGTTCAATACTGATTTGCCAACCTATTGTACCAACCACAGATAATCGTTAGTATACTGTGGTGTGTCTCTTCTTGCATACCTAAGTTGACGCACTAAAAAGCAAAACAGCTAAAGGTTGAATAGTCAAGAGTATTAGAAAGGCCAATCTGAAAATTTTCCCAAATTTAAATTTTCTAGCCATTTTTTGTAGTTTGTTGGTGCTACAGTTCAACATTTATCATGTGCCTAAAGCAAAAACACAACGAAAAAAGAAATGTATATATATATATATATATATATATATATATATATATATATATGAATATGAGCTTCTTGACCGGCGTTGATAATATTTGTTAGTGTATTTATATATCTAGGTGCTACTCGACCGCTGCGTAACCAAATCAGACGAGGAACCTGAGTCTAAGGAATTCTGGGTAAGTTTGCTTGAATTACCTTCAAGAGACACTGCAATAGTACTGTAAATTACATTTTCTACCTTCTTCGTGCCTCGTTACATAAGGCCTCTACTCTGTAGTCTGCACGTTCCCTAGATTTATTTCAAGATTTCAATCCCACTATTTCTTACTCTACTTGTTTTCTGGGTATATACACTTTCCTTTTAACCTCTGGATGTCAAGGGAACCATGATCCAGAGGTGTTCGTTTAGTATTTTCAGGATGTGGCCAATTCAATTCCATCATCGCCCTTTGTGACTGAGTTTGTGAGTTTCTGTTTCGTTATTAGGTTCTTCTCTTGGTATTGTGTTACGCCACCAAATTAGCACTATTTTCTTTGAATGAAAACCGTTTTTTCCCCATCACCCTATTACATTTTTCATGTTTCACACACGGAGAGACATAATAATATAAGTCTGACAAGATTTTTGTAGAGTTTGATTTTTGTTTTCCTTCTATAATGTGCAGAATGGCATACTTACCTTAATCTAGCAATTGTTAATCTGCCTTATTAATTCTGCTCTACATATTTCATCCTCCATCTTCTTTAGTTACAGTTGCTTCAAGGTACCGTTTGTGATTCATCCACATGTTCCTTCTTATCTTCTAATTTTAGTCTGTATTTTTGACCGATCGGTTGTGCAGAGGGGCGCCGTTAACTAGAGCTTTAACATCGGCGCTTGTTCGGCGAGCCGCCCCTTGCACAGAGTTAGGCTGGTAGAACCAATCTTCTTGGGACTGTCTGCACATCTGGCTGCAGTTTAAAGAACCCATTTCATCTTTCTAAAGAGTAGGGAAGCTATACTATGGTTAATTTCAGCCCCAATTGTGGAATGGTGTGAACATGAAACTACTATAAACGCCTTTTTACGGCAACTAGGTAGTCATGGACCACGCATGTACGCAATTCAGCCCAATGACCATGCGAGTTATGGGTTATTTCCCTACCTTTACCTCCCTTTATAAAAAAAATTCTTATCACTTATTCAATTGTTCAGTACACAAAATACTAGCCCAGACATAACCTATACCTGTTCAACATTGGTATTTGTTTGGTATCCATAATTGTATCCAATAAAACTGATGTGATATCTGTCTTTCTATGATGTTACATAGTATGAACATTTGTTCTGTTGAAATTCAACCTTTAAGAAAACTTGGTGTGCTAGCTGTAACATTTGTACAATGATCCCCTGATTAATCCCATTTATTCGAATTTCTTAAAAAGCACTTTGCAATTTATCAGCAACAACAAAATACAATGATTAGAGTATGCAGTACGTATTTAAAGACGTCGGAAATTTTACTAACACATTTATTCTTTACGATCTTAATTTAGTACAAATACGACTTCACATTTCTGAAAAGCTCTGGGTTTGTGACAAAGCTGTATAATACAAAAGGATTGGAACTAATGCCTCTTCTACCGTTAAATGTAAGTAAATATGATATAATTAGTTTATATTTTATTATGTATATATACATATACATGGGGCCTATATAAATTTAAAGACAAATTACTGGGAAACAACAATGCTGTGGAACACAGTGACTGTAAAATTTGTAGAAAAAGCGAAAATGAAAATGTAAGTTAAAACCAGATCAAGTCTACATGGGGTGTTTTCATATTCAAATTACAAGATTTTTTTGTTGTTAAAATATCATTGTTAGAAAATGGTGGAGTTCAACCGTATCAACTGTCTATCTCACCCGGTTTGTCTTCATTTTCTGTCTATGAAGTGGTACGTGCATTTTGTTTTTATTTTACCATCTTTAGTATGCAAATAAATAATGATAAAAGTAAGAATTATGGCAATTTTATGGTATGATGGTGATGATAATGACACTGAGCATGACAATGATAATGCTAATGGTGTACGAAAACGACAACAAATATAGCAATTTATATATATTTTTATCAGTACAAACTGAATTACTATGATTGAAATTTAAAATATAATATAAATTTGTTAAATAATAATGAAGAGTCAACCTAATTAAATAGAATAACAATTAAACTATATATGCTATATTGTTAAAAATGAATAAAAATAATTGTATATTATCATTGTATAAAAATACGTTGATTACAAAAACATATAGTATATTAATGTACACAACAGAGCTGCACAGTAATGGAAGATAATGATAAAGATGATTATCATGATGAATAGTCACGTGATTCACGTGATTCATGATAATAAATTGTAATATCATCTTACAAAGTTTAGTTCTAGGTAATAGTAATATTAGGAGGGACGCACTGTAGGACGCCTAATTAAAAAAAACATTGTTTTTACATTCGCTGTCGTTGAATAACATTTATAGATGAACATCACCCAACGTGTATCACATAATGACCAGTGTATCAGAAGTCAGTACGTTTTGTATAATAATAATACGTATAGGGGGGATACTGTACATGTATTATTAATACGTTCCTCTTTTTCACAGGGCTTCTTATGGCAGACCTGTTTACATGATCAATATATTCATATACGCAATCTTCTTGATGTTTCTTACTGGATTCGTGGTTGAAGCACCGCATAAAAATACAAATGGCAATCACATATATCCAACATCTACTGCAGACGTGAGTAATGAATAAAACATTGATTCAAATTTAGACCGTAAGCCATTGTGTAAATTATGCGTCCATGATAAAAGCTTATGGAAGGAACAAGTTATCCTGAATATTGTAGGTGAAATTTCGAATATTTTAATTTTATGATAGCTATAGTAATTACCGCTAAGAATCTATAACAACATGACAAATATCTGTTACAAAACAAAGTATCCAGTTTTTGAATCTTGTTAGCCTGCAATTACTTTTTGACTTCATGTGGGTAAATATTATGATTTTATTTTCTGAAATTTAATCTAAATTATATGCTAAACTGACCAATCGGCCGTGTTTGTTTTAGTCACGGGGATAACTTAACGCCGATTAATGCATTCTGGTTTCCGTTAATTTGCGTTGTCAACGAAGTTTATTTTACGAACCAGTCGATGAAAATATTACCCAACGAAAAATCGTAGTTAACGAAATGAACCAGTCGAATAAGCCCATTGATTTGTTATTTTACCATATTATGGATCTAGAAATGAGCATCGTTTTTTTTTTGTTCTTTTTTTCACTTATAACTTCTTGTACACGTTGTTGTAGCCAGGGACCGCTCGGAAAAAGCAGTAACTAATATGATTATTCCCATCCTAATTATTTTACCTGAGAAATTCCAGAAGTGTATACTTGGCGTTATAGATCAGTTGGGGAACAGAAATGTATTCGGATGGTCTGGGTTCGAATCCATGGTACAACGTGTTAAAGTATATTGAGCATTATGTATATCCACATGATTTAATTAACAAGTTAACTAGATTTTTCTGATAACATTGTAATTATTTTGATAAAATATTATATATATATATACATATATATATATATATATATATATATATATATATATATATATA